CCATCCCATGGTCGAAGAATCCAAAGCCTTCTCTCCGACACCACCTGCGTAGCCATTCGTTGACTTCCACGATTCATCTGCCTCATGTTCTTGAGTTCTACAGCCAAAAGTTCCTTTTCTCTGCCCCCTCTCTGTTCCCTCACCACACCACACTTACAGTAGTTATCCTTGGTCAGTGAGGACCCAGGGTTCAGAGGTGCATCTGTGTGAGTTCACCTCCCACCTGGGGAAGAAGGCACCTTGCTTGCTCTGCCATTGCATCCGAAGAAGTGAGGTTTTTACTCACGAAAACTTATGCCCAAATAAATCTGTTAGTCTTTAAGGTGCCACTAGACTCCTTGTTGTTTTTGTAGATACAGACTAACACGGCTACCCCCTGATACTTGCTCTGACTGTTCACCCTGTCAGCCACTTGTTCCTCTCCTCTCCCTCTGGCCCACCTGCTCATTCCTCTCCAGTCCCACCTGCCTCTCTGTTGTGACCATTGCAGGTCAGTCTCTTGAGATTCCACCCAACTCTTAGTGATTGTCAGCTTTTAGTGGGGGAACCTGAAGCAGGCTGGGAGGAAACCCTGTCCTACCACAAGTGATTTCAGCTCTATTGAGCACTTAAAATAACAAAAGACTCCCAAGGAAACCTTTTTAGCTCTATCTTTGAACAGTGGGGAGGAACAGGTTAAACCAGACTGGGGACCCTTAGGGAGAGTCTACCTCCTGACTGGGACACCTGTCCCCACCTCTCTTACTTTCACAGGGGTCTGGCATTTGACACCCCGGGTTAGTAAATTTCTTTCAGCTGAGGGTGACCCCCATTATTCAGGACAGGTTAAGCACAGTTCTGCTCCCCTTTACTCATTCAATAAAAACAACAAAATTGATAACATTTTACAACCCCGGCATTCAGATTTAAAAGTTTTATTTAAGCTAATATTAAAATTATATAATACACAGGTTAAGGAAAGAGTGTCTGTAAATCTGGTTATAGTGTTTATTTATCCAAAAGTACAAAGGTTGGTTCAAAAGTCATACAATAACCCAAATTTAGATTAATAAATCGAAAGATACAGTTTATCAATTTATCAGTTTGTTCCCAAACCTCCTCTAATAATACCTCAATCTGGGACAGTTCCTCAGAGCTGTCACCTAAAAAGAATGGCTCGGGTTTGTTTATCTCCCTCCCTAACCCGTGAAGACCAATGCAAAGAATTCATTTAGTTTCTCCGCAATGGCGTTATCGTCCTTGAGTGCTCCTTTAGCACCCTGACCATCCAGTGGTCCCACTGGTTGTTTAGCAGGCTTCCTGCTTCTGATGTACTTAAAAAAAATTTGCTATTACTTTTTGAGTCTTTGCCTAACTGTTCCTCAAATTCTTTCTTGCCTTCCGAATTTTATTTTTATACTTCATTTGCCAGTGTTTATGCTCCTTTCTATTTTCCTCACTAGGATTTAACTTCCACATTTTAAAGGATGCCTTTTTGCCTCTCACTGCTTCTTTTACTTTATTGTTTAGCCACGGTGGCTCTTTTTTGGTTCTCTTACTATGTTTTTTAATTTGGGGTATACATTTAAGTTGAGCCTCTATTGTGGTGTCTTTAACAAGTTTCCATGCAGCTTGAAGGGATTTAACTTTTGGCGCTGTACCCTTTAATTTCTGTTTAACTAACTTCCACATTTTTGTGTAGTCCCCCTTTCTGAAATTAAATGCTACAGTGTTGGGCTGCTGTGGTGTTTTTCCTGCCACAGGGATATTAGTGGAGTTTCCTCCTGATTTACAGCAGTCAGTGTAACAGGGATGAGAATTAGGCATGAGACCTGAATGCAGTTTGGCCTGATTTCCCTTTTCTCCTCTATGTAGAAGATGCGGTTTTGGAACAGAGGTGGGGAGAAGGTCTAGGTGCCATGGAGCTCCACCCTAAAGTCAAGCTGTGACTGAACCCAGCCCCTCTGACACCACAAAGTGAAAGGATTTGTAAGAATTATAAGAAATAGAGATCTACCCATATGAGCCCATTGAAACCTACATAGATGTGTGAACCATGGTCTGCAAACACCCAGGTGTTGCACTAACATGTGCTAGGGAAGTTTTTAGGATGTTTTATTTTTAATTAAAAAAAATAATTAAATGGGCTTTCTAAAGCAGACAAATGATAGAAACAGCTCCCTTGCCTCCCATCAACACACACACACTTCAGCACGATTATCTCAAACCAACTTGCTTTTATTAAAAGGAGAGGAACAAAACTTATTTGGGTGATACAGGAACTCCCTTCTGGAATTTCTCCAGCTCACAAGGTTGTTTACAGCCCAGATAAACAGCACTTCAGGGTTCCATTGAAGCAGGATCTGATGATTTTAGAAGCAAGTGGCTGTCTGCCAGATTCCCAGAGATCCTGCCTAGACAATCAGTCAATAAATAACCTGTACAAAGAAAAGAGAATCAGATTTGTGGATGTTTTTCCATAGAACAGGGCTAATATGAAGTTTGATTTCAAATCAAAAGGAGGAATTGCCCAGTTACTCTGTGGTGGGTGAAGAGGTTCCTAGTTAACTCCGGCATAGGGAATTCACTTTCCCTACTGCAACATTCTGTTACCGAGTTTTAAGGGGGATAGTCATATGCATCTAAACAGGTGCACTGGCTGCCTATAAGATCTATACTGAAGAAAAGCACAACTCACATCCAGGTACAGTCGTTCTACCACACACACCTTGTGCACAGCTGAAGCTAAAATAACACAATTACTTAGGTGACACAATTGACCCAATGACACAATTACTTACTTTTATAGAATGAAGGGAAATTCCAATTCACTATGAAGGCTAACACCATTCAGGTGGCAGTTGCATACCAGCAGCTGCTAGCATGGCCACTCTGGCTGAGTTCCCTGGCTCTCACTCCGCAACTCCAAAGATCTCCCAGCTTCACATCTCCTGCCCTTGACCTGCACCTTTAGTAGGTGGGAAAAATCTCTCACCCTCCAAAGTGCTTCTCTGGGACCTGTTCATACTGCAAAATTAATCTGACCATGCTGGGCGACTTGCATAGTTTATGACAGATACTATGAGAAACAGGCAGAGCAGGAATAGAAAGGCCTCCAGACATAAGGAATGTGGCCACGCTAAATTTCCATGGGAACCTTGATGTTTAAAACATTAAAAAAACCTACTGAATAGTGCTCACATTGATGTTACTAAGATTTATATAATTACTGCCCTTGGGCTTCAAAAAGGAGATAAATCAAGGGCTAATGTCTGTACGTAGCTGCTGTAAGGACTGAAGGATTCAGTCAATCCACGCCTCTGTCACTTGCTGAGGCGTGGATTGCACCCTTGGCAAGTTTGCAAATGACACTAAACTGGGAGGAATGGTAGATATACTGGAGGGTAGAGATAGGATACAAAGGGACCTAGACAAATTAGAGGACTGGGCCAAAAGAAATCTGATGAGGTTCGACAAGGACAAGTGCAGAGTCCTGCACTTTTAGGACGGAAAAATCCCATGCACTGCTACAGACTAGGGACCGAGTGGCTAGTCAGCAGTTCTGCAGAAAAGGACCTGGGGTTACAGTGGACGAGAAGCTGGATATGAGTCAACAGTGTGTCCTTGTTGCCAAGAAAGCGAATGGCATTTTGGGCTGTATAAGTAGGAGCATTGCCAGCAGATCGAAGGATGTGGAAAGAGTCCATCAGAGGGCAACAAAAAAGATTAGGAGGCTGGAGCACATGATTTATGAGGAGAGGCTGAGGGAACTGGGATTGTTTAGTCTGCAGAAGAGAAGAATGAGGGGGGATTTGATAGCTGCTTTCAAATACCTGAAAGGGGGTTCCAAAGAGGATGGATCTAGACTGTTCTCAATGGAAGCAGATGACAGAACAAGGAGTAATGGTCTCAAGTTGCAGTGGGGGAGGTCTAAGTTGGATATTAGGAAAAACTTTTTCACTAGGAGAGTGGTGAAGCACTAGGGACCTAGGGAAGTGGTAGAATCTCCTTCCTTAGAGGTTTTTAAGGTCAGGCTTGACAAAGCCCTGGCTGGGATGACTTAGTTGGGAATTGGTCCTGCTTTGAGCAGGGGGTTGGACTAGATGATCTCCTGAGGTCCTGTCCAACCCTGATATTCTGTGATCAACTCTTAAATGGCTTTAAATCCTTGGTGGATTGGTCCTGATTTAATTATACTGAAGAGTGAGCACTTCTGATTACATGCAGGTGTCACTCACTGGTCAGTGTGTGTTAGTTGTACCCTATGTGCCTGAGCTACAGAGAAGGAGACTCGGTTACATCCCCAATTAGAGAGCCTGGCCCCATAGCTCAAGCTGTAGAGACTTGGGCTTTGCTTGAGTGGATTGTGCTTTAATCCCCAATCTGTTGGGCAAGATAGCGCCTAGCACCCTTCTGTGTTCTACATCACCCACAATCTACAAGCTCACACCAATGAGCAACTCTTAATGCAGCTCCTCATGTGCTTTAGCATTTGCAGCCTCTGGACCCACATACATGGTAAGAAAGCCCAGTGAAATGCTGCACTGTGCTAGTCTGTCTGCAATTGTAATGAGTTAGTTTCCACTCAAATATTTTACACACTGGGTTGGTCAGGAAGGACCCTTGTGTGATGACTAGGACATGTGTCTGGTTACAGTGTGCTGCCAGTTTTGAGTTAACTACTTTGAAAATACTTCACCTTATTTAATTTTTTACCTTCCCTGCACACACACAAACTTTCATCCACCCTCAGGTGTCAGTAACCTCCAAACTCTTAGGCTTTTTTTGTCATCAAGCTGTAGCTTTACAGTTTTAAAGCCTTATAAATATTGAGTCTCTGCAGACAGCAGCCATTTTGTTCCCAGAATTTCACAGGTTTTAAGGCCAGAAGGGACCATTTGATTATCTAGTCTGACCTCGTGCCATAGACTTTCCCCGAGTTCCGCCTGTATTGAGCCCAGTAACTTGTATAAGTGGATTCTCTTCCAGAAAGGCATCCAGCCTTGATTTGAAGACACCAAGAGATGGAGAATACATCATTTCCTTTGGCAGTTTGTTCCAATGGTTAGTCACCATCACTGTTAAAAATGTTAATCTTATTTCTAATTTAAAATTCTCTGACTTCATCTTTCAGCCACTGTTTCTTGTTCTCGCGTCTCTGCTAGATTAAAGAGTCCTTGGAACCTGGTATTATCTCCCTGTGAATGTACTTATACACTCGAATCAAGTCATTGGAGATGCCCATATACGATGACAATTCCCCATTAACAACTATTTTAGGTTGTACATTATATTATGTGTGCTTTAATGAGATTCTATGGTGCTAGGTTTCTAATCAGAACTTGTGCTGTGATAAGTCACTGTCAGGCTATGTGGCCTATCATTACCCAGGCCATCCTACCTGCCCTTGTTACCTATTGGCAGAACATTAACTCTCTTCTAGTCTTCTGGAATCTCCCCAACATTCCAGAATTTATTAAGAATCGTAAGTGCAACAGGTATCTCCTCAGTCAATTCTTTGAAGATTCTGTAATGGAAGTTTTCCATGTCGCTGATTTAAAAATGTCTATCCCTAGTGGATGTTCTTTAACATCCTCCTTATTTTCTAATGCATAGATAGTCGTCACCATTGTCATGTAAAATCAGTACATCAACCTGCTTCATTCCAAATACAGAACAGGAATTTACTGAACACATCTGCCTTTTTATTAATAATTTTATCACCACCTATGAATCCTGTTAGGATGGGTGTTACCATTGTTAGGATTTCTTTCCCCCCTGATGTTTTAAAAAAAATGCTTTCTTGTTCTTAGCACTGTGAGCCATGCATTCTTCCCTGTTGTCCTTAGCTTCCCCTTTCATATAGCTAAACTTCATCACTTCTAATTTTAGATTGACTATTATCTAAATCTCCTGTTTCCCATTGATTACAGATATTGTTTTATTTTTAATTGTTGCCTTCACATCCCCTGCTGGGTCTGATACAGAGCAGACTGAGCCTCTGCACTCACTCCTCCAGACTTTGTTTTTCCTACTTGATTTCCCTATTTCAAAATATAAAAGCCATGTGGACAATGGGGTGTATGGGCCCCAGCTCCGGCCCATATATCAAGCTTCGGCAGCATATGGAGGCTGTAAAAGGATCATAAAGGGACTGAAGTGTGAGCAGCACATGGCTGGCATAATAGGTCTCGTCTGTCCCTGTTGCAAGCACTGGAGTTGGGATGGTGCTGGAGACATTGCTGGAGGCTGTCAGATCTAAAGGGGAAATCCCTGTAGCACTGAGCACTGCAGACACTCTGGGCTAATCCAGGCTGTGGAGTGTCCCACAGGCAGCCTGGGTAAGGCTGTTGTATGTAAGAGCAGCCGGAGGCGTGGTTCTCATACATGTTGGGGCGCACTCAAGTCCCCAGGTGGCCTAGAATATGGGCCACACAGATGTGGCTTGAAGCCTGTTTGTCCTCTGGGCTGGGCCATGTGTGTGGAGCCTCCAAGAGCATTAAACAACAACTTGGGTGTAAGAAGGAGAGGAACAAATATTTCCGTTCATACTGCAATGTCTGCCTTGGAATGCTAAACTTACCTATTAGAGCAAATGTACCCAGGTTCACAGCATCTTCCAAGTTTTATCGTTTTAGTAGGACAGATCCTATTGTAACAAGAACCCCCTTGCTGTCTACATCTTGTGATGAGATTCTTAGCCTTGGAGAATTCTGTAGAAAGAAAAAGAGTCATCATCAGTCTGTAGAACAGGGATAATAAGGGCTGTGATTAGACCAAAAGAAGGCTGAGGGGAGATCTGATTGCTCTCTATAAATATATCAGAGGGATAAATACCAGGGAGGGAGAGGAATAATTTAAGCTCAGTACCAATGTGGACACAAGAACAAGTGGATATAAACTGGCCATCAGCAAGTTTAGACTTGAAATTAGACGAAGGTTTCTAACCATCCTTGGAGTGAAGTTCTGGAATAGCCTTCCAAGGGGAGCAGGGGAGGCAAAAGACACATCTGGCTTCAAGACTAAGCTTGATAAGTTTATGGAAGGGATGGTATGATGGGATAGCCTAATTTTGGCAATTAATTGATCTTCGACTATTAGCGGTAAATATGCCCAATGGCCTGTGATGGGACACTAGAGAGGGTGGGATGTGAATTACTACAGAGAATTCTTTCCTGGATGCTGGCTGGTGAGTCTTGCCCACATGCTCAGGGTTTAGCTGATCGTCATATTTGGGGTCGGGAACGAATTTTCCTCCAGGGCAGATTGGCAGAGGCCCTGGGGGTTTTCCACCTTCCTCTGCAGCATGGGGCACGGGTCACTTGCTGGAGGATTCTCTGCACCTTGAAGTCTTTAAACCACAAGTTGAGGACTTCAGGAGCTCAGACATAGATCAGGAGTTTGTCACAGGAGTGGGTGGGTGAGATTCTGTGGCCTGCGTTGTCTTCAAGTGCACAAACTTATCACAGCTTTAGTACCACTCCTTAAATGGGTGTAGCTCTGTGCACGTTCCGTGGCTGAATTTAAGAAGGGAACAGAGCGAGTTAATTAAACAGTAGCCCTGGTTCTCAAGCAGCAGAGTTCAGGTCTGTAGCTCTGAGCACGGACATCCTTTGCTGCCCCCTGCCTTTAAGTGATGGAAAGCAAGTAGCTGCCCACATCTCTACCTTCTTTTAGTGGCTGCAGCTGTGGGTGTGATTCCCTCGGGCTCTGACAGGGATGTGCCAGGCAGTACCATCAATGCAATTTGGCTACGTAGGGTTGAACTGGCTCAGCGCTGGGTTGCATGACTACAACTGTTTGAAAGAGAAGGGCTTGAAAAAGTCCCTTCTGGTATGAACGCCTGCCTGTCTGGGAGACTCTGGGCAGATTTTTTTCTGAAGACTCACGCAGGAATAGTTTCTTGATGACTAATTGCCACTCTTTGGTTATACCTGAAGGGCCTGTTATTTTGAAAATCCCGCCCTAACATGCACAGCCAAAGCTTGTAGCATATTTAGCTTGGACCATTTTTAGTTGGAAGTTGTTGGGCAACCGAAA